TCGTCTCGCCTGTTCAACCACTTACGTGTTCTACTCCGGATCCAGTTGTTGCTCCGTCGCGAAACTCGTAATGGTACGTCTTTTGAAGCTGATTGTAAGACCCAGTTTATCTTGCCTTTCAACACTTGCCAGGCATCATTCGCCGAAGTGTGCATCTGGAGGTCCCAGTCAACGGTTGTCGCTATAGTGTGAAGCTTGGAATAGTTGGTGATGAATCGTCGGGTTTCTGGTTCTTTGTCAACCATACTGGCATAACACACATAATCAAACGTTAGAACTGAATGATCGCTACAACCTAGCGGGGTGTTGTATGAAACCGACTCAACCATTAACTCCTCATTAGTCAGGATTAACTCAAGTATTGAAGGCTTGTTTGAACCTCGGTGTCTGGTTGGTTGATCCACATGGTTATACAAAACTGCCATAGTCAAGAACTCAAGGAGTTTTGATTTGAAGCATGGCCCACTTGGGAACACAGATGTTATTGACGGTACATTGAAGTCACCCATTATTAGGTAGTGTGAGTACTTTTCGACATAGCATATTGGAGAGCATTTAACAGAATATCATCGCTGTCGGCGGAGGAGTTCGGCGGCCTGTAGACAACTGCTATGAGGCAAGCACCATGTGTCTTCTTCTGAGGACAACCATCGGGACCGGATAGCTGCAGCCGGCAAAATAAGGCGTCGGGGATAATAAGGGAATGCTCAGTGAGAGCTTCACATTTCAGGTGATCTCGGTAGTAGATAGCAACGCCACCACCGCGAGATGGACGATCATTTCGAATGACTGACATTTCACTAAGTTCAATTTCTGGATCCAAAATCTCGTTTGAGAGCCAGGTTTCAGTTAATGCTATGATGTCCCAAGTTGCTGCTTCATGCCGATGGCGCAATTCCGGCAACTTGGAGTAAAGCCCTTGGGCGTTTGTGTAGCAGCATTGGATTTGTTGCCGCATTAGGAGGTGGGTTCGCTGTGTTTGACCGGCACAAACAGTGCCGGTCTGCCCACGTTTTTTGACACGAGTGTTTGCACGCTTGGCTGGTCTATGGTTGGAAAAGCCAGGTCTGACTCAACTGTACCAGTGGTCTGTACTGCTTGCAGGAATGGTCTCAGTCGCACTTCTGGTGGTCCTAAACTTCTGCTGTGGTACCACACGTTAATTGCCATTGATGCCATCTCCGGCGTAGCCAAGGTAACTTTCAAAATTTTCGGCCCGCTCCCTTGATAGTTTGGGGAGGAAGCTAAGCGGCTGACGTCGAATGCCACAACATTCTGCATGCCATAGAGTTCTGTGATGTAGCGCCACTCATCAATATCGTGTTTTTGTCTTTCACTGGTGTCGCCATGTTTCAGTTCGGGCACACCATGAACCAACACCACTTTCTTCATTACATTTTGACGAGACGCGGTTGGGTCGGATTTTCGCTTTTGTCTTTCCTTCCATGGCATGTCTGGAAAAATGCGGGCACTGAGAGAAGAGTTCGGTACACTGTGGCTTGCTAAGAGAACATCCTCCAAGTCCTTTGTGTTGCCAAATGTTACTCGCAGTAACCGAGGTTCCCCTACGTGAGGAGACGATGGGTTTCGTGACAGACGTGTAAGACTAGTTGGGAGAACGTTTAGTCCTAGTGCGCAGCTTATCTCAGTCCAGCGATTTTGCTCTTCGGCTTGTCGACCTTTTAACGACTCGCTGGTGGGTTCTGGTACGTTGGAACATATGATTGTCATCGCTTGTTGGTTGCGTAGTAATTTAGTTTGTTGCAGTTCTTTTTGGGTGGAGGTTTGTCGTGTGGGAGTGTTGGCCTTGTCTTGTGGGGAAGACAAGTCAAGGCTGCAGCAAGATTTCTCCTGTGCAGCGACGTTATTCACACAGTTTGTAATGTGCTGCCCAGCTAATAGCGACGATCGTGCAATTTGTGCATAACTCTTTACGCCTTGCGGTACAACGGAAGATTTTATCGAATTTTCAACGGGCTTGGCATCACAGTTGTTTATCGCTAATGGTGCTTGTTTTTCGCCGGAACGTGTAACATTTTTAATGGATAACTTTGGTCTTTTGGTAGGTCTGGGGTTAGGGCTACTTAATACACTAAGCTGCAACTCGAGTTCAGCGATTTTCCCTCCCAAAGCCTTGACCAATTCTTTCTGTTCGGATGACGCAACAGCCAACATTTCACACCTCGCGTTGAGAGTTCGGATAATCTTGGCTATTGGGCTATCTGAACACGCAACACAGAACCACAAACTATTTGTTATTACGCTGCGGTTTCCGCCAAGTTCTGAGTTCACGTCCACTTCGTCGTAAGAATTTGCACACAAAGAGCACGTGATTTTTGTGATGACAGTTCTCCGCTTACTTGAGCCATGATTGACCTTCGTTGTTTTGTTCACGCGTGGACCAGCTGATAAACTTCGCCTTCCCATGGCTTAGTGACTCGTATGCACTTTGCATAATAAGTCTTACCACCATTGCTGTAAGTTGCACCATGATGCCACATCTGGAGTCGTGTACATAGGTAAATCGAAGGGGGATAAAACGGACATACTTCGCGTTGTACGTTGAAAAAGAGACGAAACCAACGAGTATGTAGAAAGTAGAAATACCTAGGGGAGATGAACAAGCCCAGTACCATGCCTGTAGTGGGGTAACCTTGTAGACACCAATACGAAGAGAGTGAGAGACAGTGCCTCCGAAAGCGGACGTGTGAGCGTAAGTAACACACAATTGACCGAGTGGCATATTGTGGTGCACCAGTGTTCAACACAGGATTTTTATCACAAAAATAGCACAAAATCGCTAACAATGATAGTATCGGTAACACAATGGTAATAACAACAATAATAACATGGATAACAACGATACAGGTGTGAGGAGAGAAACCGTTGAAATAGGAATACAGGAAGAGAAGCACGCAAACAAAAGAAATGGCACTGAGAAAACTCCTAGTGTGTATCGCACTGAGTGTCGAGAAAAAAGTTTCCAATCTTGAGATAGATATTCCTGGCGTGATCGTATCAGTCGTTGTGACTAAAAACAACGAATTGTCAACTTGTGATCTGCGATCTAATTTAAATCGTCTCGAACCTTGGTCAAAGGCCGACGCAATTGCGTCACCTGGGAGTGATAGCCACATAAGTTTACCAGCTTTGGAGAGGAGGATCAATAATTCACACTACGTCTGTTGATGAAACGCCATGAATAGGCGAAAAGCGGAGTAAGGCGAAGACGCAAAAGACGCCGGAAGGCTCCACGGGTTTTGGCGGATAAGGGTGGGACACATTTCCTAGGAGGGGCGAGCTACCTAAAGGAGCAAGTATCTTCCGCTGGAAACCGCAAAACAGGCAGGTACAAAGAGGACGTGTCGAATAATATACATACGACCCAACAGGTGCAGCAGCGTACAGCGGTGGAAGTTACTTCATTCAAAGTATGTCTGTGCGTTAGTCAGCAGATGCACACTTAGTGTACGGTGCGGGGGCATGATGGACCGAAGCGATGCGGACGTAAGTTCGGTTGGCTAGAAGAAGCCTGCTGGTGGGGCAGCACGAACAGTTTGAGTCTTGGGACTAAAGGACTGTAGGAAAATAAATTTTGTGCCTAAATAGAGCCAGTAGTAAATTCGAAGATCATTCTCAGCTTCTTTGCTTGCACGGGATGACGAAAACCGGGACACGAATTGACACAGACCGACGTCTTGTAAAGAAGCTACAACTAGCTCCACACAGTTAGGGAGCTTCGCAAGGTGAACTAGGCAAATAATTGACAGCAGACGGAAGCGGCAATTCAGAACTACACATACAGAGAAACAAAGTATCACCGAGGAAGAAAATCTGAAGCGAGCAAAGTGCAGTGAAAGAGAGTGGAGCATAGGTCGAGTATAGGGGCCCTGAGGCAGTTGGCTCTGCAGTTTTACAATAGCGGTGGCCGTAGAAACGCGCGGAGTCGTCAACAGTACGTAGCTGTGCACAAAATAACAAGGTTGTTGTACCACAGAGTGACAGTTTGTGTGACAAAATAGACACAAAACGTGTGGAAGAGAGGAAATGGTTTTGTAAAAATGGCAAACAGAGTGCCGAGGAAAAGTCAGTGAGTTACCTTAGGAGAAAGTAAGGCAACCTACGATAGACACGTTGAGAGCGATCGGTTGAAGTGAAATACGTGGATTGGATGGAGTATTGGTCCCAAATTCAGAGAGATAGGAGGGCGTGGATGGGTAGTGCGCCGATAACAAAATAAATAAATAAATAGTTTATTCTCGTCATTGCGAGGCACACCATCAAGGTCGGGATCATGTATGCTCGGCAATTGCACAAATTGGTATATTTTGGCAAATAGCATAGGAATGCATGTGCCTGTTGACATGTAGAAGTATGTTTATGTCTGTAGTTGGAAGTAGCCAAGTGGAGTGATTAGGTAAACGTGACTCTGTGTGTGTTTTTGTTCGTTGGATTCGCCATCAAAGGGGAAATCAATGGGCCGCTTCATGTCGGATGACGTTCGTGATGTGTGAATGTTCCTAAGTAAATAGGAAGAGGCAGTGACTTTATTTAGTGGCGCGTCACATCCGCCACGTCACAGTGTTGTTAAACGGATATCTGTGGTCTTTTATTGGGAGAACGCTTGCTAGGCGAAATTCCACCACATCCTAGAACACCGCCGCCGAACCATTTGCTGGAACGGAATTTACCCGAACCACCCAGCTGACACCACGGGAAAGTTGTTCGGCTAGCCAGCCACGAGCGTGTGTTGCCTAAATGGTGGGGAGTTGGGCACAAGAAAGTGGAGTTCTCTTCTAGACCGGTTAGGAGAGCGGGATCGCCCGAAAAAGTTGTTGATAGATACAGCATCACGTACGATCAGAGTGAGAAGTGACTAAGTTGGAGAACAAAGTCGATGGACTGCAAAAGACTATCATGCAATAATCTATGCCTCTGTCAAGGAAAAGAGCAGAATCAGCTGACAGTATGGTGATTGAGAGGACGGAAACAATTGAAGGCTAAGCGACCTCAGTTATTGATGCGACGGTTGATGGAACAGAAGTGATAGGACCAAGAGAAGTATGATCATTAGGCAATGAAGGACTTGAAACACCTCGTCGCCGACGGCGACCCTCACCGATGGCACCACAGCGGGCTGATGAATCAATAGGTGAGCTGCTAGCACGAAATGTGTCTGAAGAACTATTCAGTGAAAGGTCTCGTTTCGAAGATGGTGGATCATCATGAATATCGACCAAGGCACTCGCCGCTGCCTCAATGTAGGACGGGAAGGCGTACAAATGATCATCAGAACTGGGAAGATCACCGGTAGCTGAGGGTGACCAGATTGCATTCAGTTGTGTGGCAGTTTTGGCATCAATATCCCCCAACAGTGACCCGGATTGGGGCGAACTGAACAAATGTTGCAATAGAGATGTCTTAGGCAGTGAATCGGAGCCAGCGGTGAAATCGTGTTGTGCAAGTGAGCCGTGGGAAGGCATAAATATGGAGGTTGATGTGCAACCGTTGTTTGACCATGGGCCATTTAGCGAGGTGATGCAGGCGGTGTCACCACCAGAACCCAAATCGTCTGTCTTTAATGGAGGAAAAAGTGGGTTAACGGAGACTGATGAGAGCTGCTGATGCTGGATCGACTCGAAACCAGGAGGATATTGCGGTGCGGCATTGGTTGAAGTCCCCTGAGCTGAAGTTGAAACGGGTGCGGATGGTCCGTTGCCAGATAACCCACCGCTGTTGGAATGAAAGCTTTGAGAAAATCAAATCCACCAGAAGAAGTAAACGGACTCGAATTAGTCTCCTGTGTCTCTGTGGTCACACCGACGAGATCAAAAGACAAGGGACTAGTGATTTGCTGGCTTACCAAACCATCAAGGCGTGAGCTGAAAGGATCAAGCAAAGGGTTCGTGGAATTCACTACCCAGTCACTATGTCGACGAGTCAAAGGCTGTTGTTGTAATAAATCCAAAGGTGGATGAGACCGATACTGCATAAGCAGCGTGGGGCTCAGATCTCCCCCAGATGCAAAGCTGGAGCTCAACCTGCTTACGGAATCATTAAAGTTGAACACTTAGAGCTCCTTAAAATTGCCTTTGGCCCATGAACTCCATTGGTGAGACTGGTTTGTTTCTCTAGAAGTCCCGCCGAATCGTAGCCACTAGAGACGACTGTCACTGTTGAACCGGCTGCTGATGCGACGGACGATGACGATGAAGAAGGAAACAACAACAACGCACTCAGAGTTGATTCAGGACAGGTTGGACCAGGAGGCTCTGTTGTCGCCGTTGTTGTATTCAAGAGTGCACTGTGGTGTCCGAGAGGAGGCATCAGGTTGACAAGTGGATTCCAAAATTCGACGGGGCATATATTGGGATTACCCGGAATGCGTGAGAAAGGTGCAGATAGATCACCATGCCAGTGCAGGTTGTGGCCAGGCATAGAGTGCGGGCTGCACGGCTGTGTACCACAGGGTCCATCGCTGCAGTGAACCTCATCCAGTAATCCGATCGTAGACGAGGCGCGATTAGTGAATGACGTTGCTTGAGTATTGAAGAGACCGGGCGCAACAGAGTCCCCAAGATGACTGGTGAAGTCACCAGCATATTATTTCGGGTCAGGAGAATAGAAAAATAGCCCAGAAGCGTCTACCAGTTGAGGGCGGAAATGCAACTGTTGGTGAACTGTTCTTGACCAAGCGCACCCCACCGATTACAGGCGACAAATTTAGCATACCGGGGGGAGCACTGGTTAAATTGTGTCCGTTCGAAGTGGGTGACGGTCCCGAGGAACCAGCAGCAGTGGCCAACCGTTTGGCCTAAGGAGGCTTGTTCTTAGACGCTGTCAATATGCGGTCCAGGACTTTACTGTCCTCCTGGGAAGCCAGTTGGGCCACATCTGGCCATATCCATGTGGCGTTGTGAACGCGCGTATGGTTTCTGCCATTTAGCCGCTGGTCATCCGATCCTAGATTGGATGAACTCTCGTCCACTTCACCGCTCGCTCGACGTTCTAGTTGTCGCATGACCAAATGACAAATGCCCTGCTTCGCTTGCTGGACACTACGCTCCGCAGCTTTGTTGAAGCCAAGTCCCGATCCTGGTAGGCCGATATCTCAAACTCTGAGGTGGCGTTTGGACCGCGGGCCGCCTCTTTCGGTGGACTTTTGATCTCAGTACCCGTGTCTTTTTGAATGGTGGTGATGATGGAGCCCTGAGTACCAATGATTTTACCTACCATTTCCTGTGGTACAGAGATGCGGCTACGAGCCAGTAGAATTCGGCTACCCGGGGTGCTGCTACTACTACTGCTAGGATTGTTAGAGACACGATCCTTTCGGTCCGCCGGTACTGCCCAAATTGCCCTGAGTAGTGTTCATGCTGCCACCGGGATTCGTCGTCAAAGAATTACACGGACTGGATGGTAAACTGGAGATGGCTGGAAAATAGGCTTCCGGTTGGGGAGCGCAAGGCAGTGCCGCCGCCGCCACTATTTGTGTTTGAATGCGCGGCGGTGGGCGTCAGTTTTTAAAGCATTCACTGTCGGATGAAGCGGTGGATTGCTGCAACTGTGACTGAGTGCGAGTAAAGTCTAGGTGTAGGATGTTAGCTGTCACACGACTGCTGATAGGACCGCTGTTGAAAACCCCGGGGGACAGGACGGGGCTGAGAACTTGTAGAACCCTGACAACTTTCACCAGCAACCAGCTTACTTTGTGTAATCTCTTGTGCACGAGTGTTGAGGTGATGCGCAACACGTATTGCTATTTCGGGCGGCGCTTCGATAATGAACACATGTTCTTCATGTTCTCCGGGAGTAGTTATCAAAGCACCGGTCTCCTCGCGTATCAGCTTGATCTTTTGACCCCATTTTTCCACGATTTCTGAGACATGGTCGTTACTGGGAACACGGACGCAAATTCGTAAGTACGCGGCTTTAGGTTTTGCTTCGGTTCCATCACATCGTTGACGAAAATGTGCAGCTATGCTGCCATAGGACTGGCTGGTCGAACGACAATAGTTCTCCTTCACGCATTCAAGTTCAGCGCCCACAATATAGCCCTGCTTTTGGGCCAAATGGTAATAGTGAAGCCGACTTTGTATGAGCAACCCAGAGACAAAATAGCCTATGCGCGGGATCGGTGCGAGATGGGAGAGAGTTCAAGCTGCGGGCAATTCGAGTTAGAGATCCAAAGTTTAATGGATCGTACGTTGTCGCTAAGTAAAATGTTAGCATCTTGATATAACCCCGTTCTCCTTTGTGCTGGGCGCATGCGGCCTACACCGTTTGGCAAGAGGTCCTATGGGAGCTGATGAAATGCCCTCAGTTATCGATGAAGCTGTGCCGGAGTCCCGTTTATCGGATAGTGATTGTAAGGGTGAGTTCTATAGGCTGTGGCATTCATTTGGAGCAACGCCGTTGCTGTAGCCCAGGAGCCGTGTTACACCGGAGCCAGGATTCAGCTTACTGCCGAGGCATAGGGAGGTGGGTGTGGAATAGGGAGGTGCCAGGTTGATTGCGACTTGGTAGCAACGTTGTGGAAACTTTAGGAACCTGGTGGACAGTGCGCGGCAAAATGCATGGTCCAGAGATAAAACCGTTTGAACGAGACGGAAAAACGCATCACTAGAGGAGCCATTAATCACCGAACCTTGCAAGCTAATCATTGCAGTGGTGGAACCAGTGCGATGCAAGGGTGACCGCAAAGTGCGTGACTTTACGGCGTCCGAGTTCTCAAAGGAACCACCAGGAGATCTGAAACAGGTGGAAGGCGTGCATTTAATTCCGTTAGTGTAGCCATTTCCATCGTATGCTATGGATACTGTATCGCTGTTTGCCATGAAAACGAAAGTCTGGTAGTGAAAAGCTCCTCGTTTTCGAAATTGGCTACACTCGCCGACGGCATAGCGGACGGTCGAGCGTGGATTGTGTTCCTTCTATCTATATGTTAACTGCAGCAACAATGCAAGACAGACGGTGCTACTGTTTCTGTGTATGGTAAGCAGTCGTAACATCTCGCGCACGACTGGTCAGGTGGTCAGTTTGCTGACGCATGTGTGCATCCGATGGGCCATATCATGGATAACAGCTGCGACTGGACGGGTGCGCTCGCGGCTGGATATGAAAAACTTTATAATTTTACACTGGCGAACCGGGGAATCTCCTGACTGCTACATCGCCCTCCCCCAGCAGGGACTGTGTAAGCGGTCCAGCGACCTACGTGAGAACTGTCCGTCGCGGGTCAGCTTACTGCAAGACCAGGTTGTGAAACCTGATGCAGCTGCTGGGGGTAACCATGCAATCGGACCCTAGCGGACTCTCACCCGTGTCCTCCATAAGGTGTCGAAATGGTAAAAAAGCTGTTTGTGGGGGACAATTAGTAAAGTTTACGTAGGTGGTTAAGCAGGAAGTTCGTTCCACTTCCAGTTGACGTGCAGGGATAAAGCGAAACGTGAAACCGAGGTGCGACCAAATAACGGTGTAGATGAGAAGTAAAATGAAAAAGCAGCGTAAATGCATAGCAATACACGCAAGAGTGCAAAGCGAACAACATGCAAAGATGTTTTTTATGTTTTCAGAAGGTTTCATTCTTTATTGGTAGTTTCAGAACGTTTTGCTTTTTCGTGGATTTTGGAAAACCTTTGGTAATAGTAAGAAAAGGTCGAAGGCACTTCCTATGTGAAATGGTAAGGGCTAACAAAGTCCAAAAACGAACTGAAGTGTTGTGCTTCCTACCCCGTCGATTAATAGTAAGGCGATAAGCAGTGCTGTCGGTTGGGGTTGTAAGTTCCGCTGCAGCGAACTGATTGGGCTGAGGTTGCGGTGCGAGCGGTGATGGCGCAGGCCATGATGGTGCTTATCGCACCGAAGAGTCAGACTTGTCGAGGAAGGATGGCATGAGTTGATCGACGTTGATCGTCTCAGTCTTACCATTGTAGTCAATGATAAACCACTTGTCGCTTCTGCGTACGACACGGTAGGGGCCGGAATAAGGGTAAAGCGGCCGGCGTAAGCTGTCACTGCGAACGTATACGTGCATGTAATTAGTTAAGCATCCGTTCACATGTATTGGGTTGCACAGGCTGAAGCTGTCGCATTTGATGAGATAGGTGGGCTACGTAGTCGCCATAGTCAAAAATTGTTGGTGCCTTTGGTGAGACGAGTTCACCAGGTAAGCGTTGCGTGCATCCAAAGACTAGCGACGATGGAGTGGCGTTCAAATCCGCTTTAATCGTGTTTCTTATGCCTAAGAGAACGGGCTGAAGTGCTTCGTGCCAGGATGTGCTAGACTGGGCACAGAGTGATACTTTGGGTTGCCGGTGGAACCATTCGGCTATCCCATTAGCTGCGGGATGGTATGCGGTGGTTCGGTTATGTTGGCAACCAAGAAAGCAGAGAAGTTTGCTGAAGGATCCATCAAAGTGCGCTTGGCTGTCAGTGATGACTACACTTGGGCAAACAAATTGAGCTACCCAACGTTCTAGGAAAGCTTCTGCAACTGTCTCCGATGGTCAGTTAGCTATCGGAACTGCTACTGGCCAACAGGTGAAGAGGTCGACGCAAGTGTGGAGGTACACGTAGCTTTTGCATGGGGACAAAGGTTTGACCGGGTAAGCATGGACGTGTGCAAAGCGAGAGTCGGGAGTGGGAAAGACGCCAAGTGGGCTTTTGGTGCGTCTGTATAGCTTGGCGAGCTGACACCCTAAGAAACCGTGTGCTCAAAGGCGGACATCGCGATTCACGTTGGGCTATACGAAACGTTCGGTTACTACCTACTACAAAGCACATATGCCGGGATGAGACAGGTTGTGTAAGGCGTTGAAAACTGGTCGACGCATCGAAATAGGAACTACAGGTCGGGAAGAAGGTACTGAGGCGTCATGAAGAATGGTCGCCTCAGAGAAAGCTAGTGGAACTTCGCGTAGTTTCAACGAGGTGTTGCGTCGTAGCTTGTCTATGTCAGGATCAGCTTGTTGGGCAAAAGCATAAGCGACTAGGTCAATGTTGATGCCAGGAGATAAGCTGATCTGCTGAATGCGTGAAAGCGCATCCGCGACAGGATTGAGGGCACCTGAGACATGTCGTACGTCTGTCGTAAACTGAGAAACATAAATAAATAAATAAATAAATACTTTATTCTCGACTATGCGAGGCACGCCCATGGAGGCATGATCAGATATGTACAACTGTACAAACATTTTATGGCAACTGTGACAGTAACAGTAGAAAATTGGTCTTATGTCCATGATAATATAAATAAATAGATAGTTTATTCTCAGTTTCATAGAGACGCACCAACTTAGGCATGATCAGGGTTTAAAAACTGTTGTGTATCACGATGATACATCGGGTTCAATCGTGTGTAGTTGAAACGGTGTCAGGAAGAGTTGATTTGTGAATCTAGTCGACTTGCCAGAATGTAGTTGTCGGCTGTGACTTTA